TCCATATCCAATATCTGAAAGAAAAACATAGACAAAAGTGTGTGACTGTGATCAATGATATGAGCAGAGACCTGGGGAGTAGATTCTAAAAGTGCTAGGCCAACAAGAGACAACCATAATTTTAGGTCCGCGGAGTATACTGATATGGTGGCATTAGCCAGTGACTCTGCATTTGATTTACTAGCTTGAGCATCTAGGAGTCATTTTAATTGTTTTCTGGGTAGGTTGACAGAAAACTGGACTCATTTGTGTTCCATACTAAATGTAGCTGAGATGCCAGAAGCTACAAGGTATAATTTAGAGGAAATAAATTCGAAGACCAAGGGAGATAAGAATGTTGGAGTGGATTTATCAGGACTGCTTACGCATCTCCTAACTATGTCTCCCAAGAGGACCAAAAATACACTTCTTTGTCCCAGACAATGGTAAATACATTGTTAAGGGAGGGCCAACATCTTTATGAAAAGCCAGAGTGGTTGTTATCTGTCAGCTAAGAATGCTGGTGGAGAAAAGCTGTCGTTGGAAATGAGATGCCCAGTTTCATTTGGATTGGATGTCATAAGCAATACAGGCTTTGGAAGGGCACTAATTGCTGGGCATAGCGAGCTTGGCTATCACAATTGGGCAGCTGGCCAGCCCAATAATGAGGATGATCTGACCCATAGAGCTCAATGATATGTCAGCTCATGGTAGCCCAAAAGAAACAGAGATGGACACACCAATAAGGTCTCTGTTGATTTGACAGACTTAGTGACTTATGCCATCATGATTGAGAGTTTAAGTCCATAGCAGACCTTGTTCATTTCCCACCTAACAATCATTCATGAATCATCTCCGTTCCCTACCTCCCCACCTGCCGGCTTTCTTCTTTCTAACAGAAGTCCAATGATATTTCTGGGAGCAGATTCCCTACTCAAAAGACAACTCTAAGGAAGGAAGAGTCCCTCTTCTGTTAGCTATTACCTGATGTATGTGGTTATGGCAGCCAACTTGCAACCATGGAGAGGTTGGAGCATGCTGAGAAGGGCAGAGCAAAGCAAGGTAAAAAGTCCAGGTCCTTAATGACATTTTGGGCTGTTGAATTAACCAACCCTGCCTTCAGACGTCTCGTTACTTGAGACACATTTTCCTATTGTTTAAGCCAGCCAAGATTTTCTGAAACTGAAGCCTAAAATATCCTAATGCTACATGGTCCCTCACTCAATCCTCCTACCTAAGTCAGTTCACAGACTGAGTTTGACTTGTATGAAAGGGAAGATGAGTACCCTTGCATAAGAAACCTGTAGTTACATGGTAACCCTGAATCTTTTCTCCGGAAGTCCCCAAACTGCCCTGCAACAATTTACCAGAGGATCTGTGTATTAGGGAAAAGGAAATCCCTAGAGTCCCTCTCAAGATTACTAGACACTGGCTTGGCTCTAAGATAATAGGAAAATCTGAAGATCCAGAACACTATTGTGGTGTCAGAGAAGGTACTAATGGGTGGTAGGCAATTAATGGAGTTTTACCTAAGTCTACCTCATGGTAGGCTCAGTAGGGCCCAAACTTTTGGTCATTTACCCAGTTCCTGAGCATATGGCTGGAATAGACATATTTAGTAATCAGCAGCATCCTCACACGGGATCTTTACTAGAGAGCAAGGGAATAAAGGCTCCTAGGTAAGAAGAGTCAAGCAGAATCACCTGGAGTTCCCTCTCATTACCAAAATGGCAAATAAAATGCAAACTTGTCTCCATAAAAATTCAGAGATTTAGTATCACCCCTAAATACCTGAAAGATGCAGAGATATTGATCTCTCTTATATTCCAATTTAACAGGCCAGTTTGACCACTTCTGAAGGCACTGGCCATGAATAATTATAAATATAATCAAATGGTAATTCCAGTGATAATCATAGCCTCAGGTGTGGCCTTTCTACTGGAACAAATCAACATATTCCCTAGCACCTGGAATGTAGTTCTCCTGCAAATACTTTTCCTCTCTTCCTAAATAGGGAACACCTGAAGATTTCACCTGGTGGGGACAAGAGTACCTTAACACTGTCTGGGTGTGGGGGTATGTCTACCCTCAGCTATGTACCACAAATTAGTTTTCTAAGACCTTCATCATCTTACCTTCACTAAGAATATGCTGGTTTACAGGGATGCTGACATGATAAGATGTGAACAGCAAGAAGTAGTTGTTCACTATACACCTTAATGCAATACATATATACACTAGAAATGTGAGGGGGGAAAAACATGAAAATACAGGTGCAGTACAGTGGGAGCAAGCCAAAGGTGGACTATGTCTAGTCATTTCCTCTAAAATAAAAGACAATTTTCTCTCCCTTGTACCCCTTATAATGGAGAAAACTGACATAACATTTCAAGGGTTTTTTGTGGATTTTAGAAGCAACATATACTACATTTTGGTTACTGTTCCAGTCCATTTTCCAGGAGACCAAGAAGACTGCCAACTTCTAGTAGAGTTCAGAGGAAGAAAATGAACTAGCCTTCTAACTAGTTTAGGCTGTAATGTACGCATGTCCTCAGTTGGTCCTAATGATCCACAAGATTTAATGCTACTTGAGGTGTCTTTGGCAGATCAGGACGTTGTATGGAGTTTGAAGCAAGGTTGGATAGAATTGTAGAACAGGTCCTTAAGGTTTTGGAGAAAGCCAGGTTCTCTTCAGGAAGTTACTGTCACCCTTTTAAGAAACAGCTCTTAGCTTGCTACTAGGACTTTGTTGAATGCATGGCCATTGGATACCAGATAATCATGCAACCTGGGCTACCTACCCTGAACTAGATGTTATCTAATCCATCTAACTATATAAATCAGGCAGACCCAGCAACGCACCATTATCTATGGAAGTGATACAAGCAGGACCAAGCTCAAGAAAGTCTTAATGGTACAAGTGAGTTGCATGAAGTTATATTCCCAGTATGCTCATTCCTAAGGTGTAGCTACTCCTAGTTCAGCTCATTGCACAGCTGAGGTGTCATGAAGTATCAGGATGAAGTATACATACTTTTTTTAAATTTATTTATTTACATTTATTTATTTTTGAGAGACAGAGCACAAGACGGAGAGGGGTGGAGAGAGAATGAGACACAGAATCCAAAGCAGGCTCCAGGCTCCAAGCTGTCAGCACAGAGTCCGACATGGGGCTTGAACTCACAAACCGTGAGATGATGACCTGAGCCGAAGGCTGATGCTTAACCGACTGAGCCACCCAGGCGCCCCAAGTATACATACTTTTTACATAGCTAGAAATCATGAGTCTAGAAGACAAGGAGTAGACATGGGGATGGCATTTGTCACTGTTGACTAAATATGTTAGCAAAATTTGTGCTTCCAATCTTTATGACTCTGGGCATTGCAGACTTAGAAATTTTAACATCCCAGGAAGAATGTGCCTACCAGAAAACACTACAATTAGCTTGTTGAATTGAAAGTTGAGGCTCTAACTTAGCCATCTGTGGTTCCTATTCCTCTGAATGAACAGGCTAAAAAATGGGATTACTACGTTGCTTACAGCACTTGCTCTAGATCATCAGAGAGAAATAATACTGCTTCAACACACTGATTCTGGAAGGAGTATGAATTGAGCACAAGGGATACCATAAGGCGATTTATGGTATTTCTATTTCCAATAGTAATATAGATTGAGGGGAAACCATTGCAAGTCTATGCAGATAAAACTACTTAAGGATAGGGGCGCCTGGGTGGCTCAGTCAGTCGAGCGTCTGACTTCGGCTCAGGTCATGATCTCGTGGTCCGTGGGTTTGAGCCCCACATCGGGCTCTGTGCTGAAAGCTCAGAGCCTGGAGCCTGCTTCAGATTCTGTGTCTCCCTCTCTCTCTGCCCTTCCCCTGCTCATGCTCTGTCTCTCTCTCTGTCCAAAGTAAATAAACATTAAAAAAATTTTTAAAAACTACTTAAGGATAAAATCCCTCAAAAATGAATGTTAGGATCTGTCACCAATGTTTTAAAACCTGGACTGAGTACTGAATGAAAACAAAAAGAAACACAGGCAAGTTAATGGAGGAGGAAAATTTAATACCATCCATAAAGAAACTAAATGTCAACTATAGTGCAAACAAGGATAGAAGTACCTATGTGAATCATCTTCCATGTTGTATTATGCACATATTTATATATTTTAACAAATGTGACTTTCCATTCTTCTCCCTGTCCCTCACTGTTTCATATAGAGTATATTTGTTGTGATCAGGTTCACAATTTATTTTGTAAATTAGATAATATTAATGCAAATTCACGAGCTAGAGCTAGAGGAACAATAGATACCAACCACAGATCCTTAGCTTGAAGCTGGATATAATGTCTGATGAGAATCTGGGAAGGAAATAAGTTGTTTGGGATTAATAAATAGCTGAATTACATTAGGGACTTTTTCTTTTAGAAGTGCAAATATGGAAAGAGTATACATTGATGTTGATCTGGAAAAGGGGTGAACTATAAAGGACGTTGGTCATTCTTTTTGTACCACTTCCTACATTTGGAAAAATCCACCATCTTGTAAAACTGTCTCCCATTATAACAGCTAAAATGACAGATACTTAGTTTCCCAGACTCCCCGAAACCAGGATGTACACGTATGATCTCGAGTTGATCAATCAGAAGCACCCACTCTAGACTTCGAATCAGGAGCTAGTGATGCAAAGAAACCAGCAGGTAGTAAGGGATGTTCTTTCTGGCATCATTGGCAATTCTAGTACAACTGAATTCCTGGCACAGCCATTGGAGGGATCCTAGTGGAGACAAATATAAGAGTATGTTTCTGGATGAGTAGCTTTGATCATGGTACTTCAGCCCTCCTGATGGCCCTATATCTTTTAGATAAATTATTATACAGATCAAATTAGCAAAAGCTGATTTTGCTTTACTTGAAATAAAAAAAAAAATGGGATTGATACACAAGGTCACAGAATGAGCTGGTGACCACATTTTCATGAATCAGATATCTATTTCTGCATAACAAACCACTCCCAAAGTAGCGACTTAAAACTATAGCAATGTATTATTTCTCATAATTTTCTGAGTTAGTAGGATGGTTCTTCTGCCACTCACTGTGGCTTCATTCAGCTGGCAGTCTGGCCTGGGTTCTGCTGATATGGCTGGGTTGGCTGGGCCTCTCTCTTGATGTGTTCTTCCATTCTCAAGAAGACTAGGCCAGGCTTATTCACAGCACAATGGTCCTAAGTTTTCAGGAAGATGAGAGCTGAAGGTGCAGTTTAAAACAGAGCTGAGAAGCCATGCCTGCCTGTTCTGCCACATTCTATTGACCTAGTCAAACCACAAGGCCATCCCAGACTCAAGGAGAGGGGAAATAGACTCTATTTGTCCCTAAGAAGAGACAACATCACATTGCAAAAAAACATGCACACAGAGATGGGAGAAGTTACTGGGGCTATCTTTGCAATCTGGTATTCATGGGATCACATAACTGAAATATGCAGAATCCAGCACACTTGGGATCCAAGTGCTAAGCATTGTCAGAACTTTGTCTCCTTTCTTCTTCACAGTTGACTAGAAAGACAGCAATCAGCAGATCTGAATTCCAGGACGCTTACAGACAGTGACCATGGAACAGCTCCATAAAAAACAGTTAGAATGAGCACCCCACAGGAAAGAGGGATTCTGTCAACCAGAAGAAGAGGAAAAGGTGTAGAAGAGACAGTGGCAGAAGCGAGCCTTAAATTCAGATGTCATGTCTCCTATTCCTGTGTTCTTTCCACTATAGCAATTGCCTGTAATTGCTTCACATTCCAGATGGAAGGAGAGGAAGGGGGTGGGATACTAAGAGCCTGGAAGCCCTTTCCCCATCCTTCAGCACTGGGAGGATTTGGCCTGACTGTTTACAGAAGTGTTCCATCTCAAGGGAGTGTGGAAGGCAAGACCTTGGAAAAGTAATTCATACTTGCAAGTAATCCACAGCCTCCTAATAGTTTATTTTTTCTACCTAGATTGGGCAATTAGAAGGAAGACATTACTTGTATTACCTGTATCAATTTATTTACTTACATCAATTATACCATATTACTTATATCAGCATAAACCTAGCTTCTTTAAACATAGCTATGAACCTTCAATCTTGCTTATCTTAAACACACATTTCAGTCTTTCTAGCCACACACATCCTTTTTCTGTATAATATTTCCACAACACTTGCCCTTCAGAAAGCTGCTTCTTACCAGATTCTTCCTACTCCGTGACTCCTATACCTGGTGCCCCTATCACACTCATGCTTTCAGTTTAGGCCCCTTCCTCTCATATTCAGTGTCCTTCCCTCTACATGGGTTCTTCCCCCTGGGAACCTCTATGTGCTCACACTGAACATAAGGTGGAAGGGCGCGGGGCGGTGGGGGGGGGGGGGTTGGGGATGAGCGCCTCAGGTCTCCATGGAGGCAGTATCCTGGATGCAGGGAGAGCACCCAGACTCCCAGGCACAGCTGCAGCCTGACGGCTGGCCCTCTCCATGCCTCTTAGAGTTCAGTGGTCTCAAATGCCTCATAAAATCTCCAGCCAGTGAAAGGATGTCTTTTGCCTTACTCCGTGTCTCTAGATGCTTCCTTTGATCTGAGCTGACCCTTCCTCCAGTCTGTGGGTAATCTTAGTCTCCATTAAATTCTGTTCCAGATCCCTCTAGAGCCATGTTAATTAAACACAAAGTTGTCACCATGTTCTCAACCCAGCCTCCTTCACAAGCGCTGTGACCCAAGAGCCCTTCCCATGTGCCAGCAAGCTTTGTTCTGTCCTACTTAGATAATTTTAACTGCATGTTGGCTAGGAACCAGACACAACTAACTCCATCCTTCCCTGTCCAAGGCAGAGATAGTCTCTCAGCGCCCTTCAACCATCAGTTTCTCAGGGACAATTGATGAAATGATAACTAAACACTCAGCAATGTGCAAAGGACTCATTCATTCATCAACAAATGCTTTCTGAGCAAGATGTCCTATGTGCCAGGCACATTTGTTGCTGCTGGGAATATAGAAGGGAACCAGAGAGACTAAGTACCTACTCTTATAAAAAGTACATTCCAGGGGCACCTGGGTGGCTCAGTCGGTTAGGCGTCCGACTTCAGCTCGGGTCATGATCTCACAGTTCGTGAGTTCGAGCCCCACATCAGGCTCTGTGCTGACAGCTTAGAGCCTGGAGCCTGCTTCAGATTCTGTGTCTCCCTCTTTCTCTGCTCCTCCCCTGCTCATGCTCTGTCTCTCTCTCCTTCAAAAATAAATAAAAACATTAAAAAAAATTTTTTTTTAAAAAGTGCATTCCAGCTTGGTCTTAGTAAGACCAGTGATTTTCAACCTTGGTCATACATTAGAAATACCTGGAGAATTTTTTAAAAATTCTAATACCTAAACAGCATATGAGAGCAACTAAATAAGAGTTTCTAGTATTTTTTAAATATCTTCAAATGATTCCTGTGTGAAGTTGCAAATACTTCCTCTGATGCCTGAGATTATCAGTCATAAGCCCTTTAAGTAGGCTGGGATGAGGTTTGTCTAGAGTGAGTCACCTGAAGCTTCATTAATAGAATCTCTGCAAGGAAGGAAGGGATTGCCCTGCTATGCTTTGTTCTTATTAGGCCACATCTCAGTGATTCATTAACAGGAATGTGGACAAAGCTATTGAGGGCTAGGTTGGTCCTGAAGTTCTGTCACAGGAGGAACTGAGAAGGTGCCACCTGAGAAAGAGAAGATTCTGGGTATAGGTAAAGGTTTCCTCCAAATATTTAAATGGTTATGGTTGAGGGCCCAAATCTGTTCCACCAGTGGACAGAAGGCTACAGGAAGGCAGATTTCAGCCCTAACTTTCAACAGTCACGATTATCCAAAGATGCAGAGAGCTGCTCTGTGGGACAGTAAGGTCCCCATCGCTGGAGGCTGCTCAGCATTCCCTGGACAACTGCACAGTGAGGGGTGGTGTGGAAGAAAACCAGAACCGAATTAGCCATGACCTATCTGCCAATAAGGATGGCCTGTATTTTACAGACTTTGAGGGAGGCAAGTGGGTAGCCAGCAACAGTGGCCAAACCTTATAGAAACTACAGAGTCGGATGGTGGTTTGAGGATGTATCTAGGTCAGTCTTCTCCCTGACACAGCCAACCCCAGTGGATAGTGAGTTAACCCCACGGCTTTCAGATGCTATAGCAGTAGGTATCAGAGGAGTCATTCAGACACGGGCCTTAAGAAGAAGTATCAAAAAAAAGAAGGAGAAAGAGAAAGAAAAGAAGAAAGACAAGAAGGAGAAGACAAAGACGAAGAAGAAGGTGGAGGAGGAGGAGGGGGAGAAAAGAAGAAGAAGTATTAGTAGTAGTTAGTAGTAATATCACATGGCAGTTAAGAGCCAGGACCCGGAGCCAGACAGCAGAATTTAATTCCTGGCTCCACCTCTTGCCACCAGCGTGACTTGGACAAGTTGTTTAACCTCTTAATGCCTCGGTTTCTTCACGATTCATGCAATGAGGAAAACAAAATTATCTACACAGAGTGGTTATGAGGATTAAATGAGTTAATCCTCAATGTGTCAAGAGCTTGTAAGAGTGCCCACCAAAGAGCACTTGCCACTAACTGTGAGCTATTATCATTTTCAGGAAGAATTGGATTTTGTCATTTTTGCCTCTAGTAAATCATTGTCGTTTGTTACGACAAAGAGACACATGGTCTGGCCCTCAAGTGGGGATTATCACCATGCCTGAGAGGTGCTCTGTTTACCAAATACCCAGAGTCTACCAGAGAAGATTAAACAAGGTACAGCTCTGGATACTGAAGGCTGCTGTTCATCATGAGCTGCCTTGGAGAAAGCACACACACGTGCACACACACAGACACAGGTGCACACATACGTGCATACTCACAAAATTCACCATCTAAAAGAGTTTCAAAATGCTTATCTCTCTCCTTCTGATCATTCCCCCTTCTCCCCTACCAGAAGTGTGTATATATATATATATATATAATACTACTCTCTAAAGAAGTGATAAAATCCTTGTCCCTGGAGTTGTGACATTGGCATTTCAAGTCCTGAAGAAGCTCTCCCTGAAAGGAAAGGGAAAAGTTGATAGACTCAGATCGTCTCTCATCTGGAGGCTCTGAAAGGCAGGCAAAGCCACTGGCCTTGAAGAGATCCCAGCATCCCTGGATGCCTGGGAGATCTCCAGGAGTTCGGACCACTGCTGTCACCACCCTGTCCATATAAAATTGTCCAGAGCACAAGGTCTGCAAGCTGACAAGTGCTTCTATACCCTCAGTCCAGTTCCTCTTGCTCTCTTCTGTAGTTCAGACATGATGAGGAGCCTTCTGCTAACAGGGTACTTGTCCTCGGAACCAATCAGAGCCTAGGACTAGGGGCTCCTTAAATTTGTGATTAAGCTATAGGAAGCAAGTCCTTGAATCAAGTGACTCCTTTTTAGCAAAGTCTGGGTCTCTTGGACCCAGGATCTCCTTATCCAAGGCAAAAAAATGCTTTATGAAAGAAAGAGAAGTTCAAGAGTTATTTCTTATGCCTGAAGCCAGCTTGAGAACAACTCTGACCCTTATGGAAGGTAGCAGAAAGACAGGAACCTGATTCTGGGGTCCCAGCACGTTCAGTCCTCCCACAGAAAGCCGAGATGTGAGAAGCAATGTAAGTGGTGACTCAGTGGCTTTGAGAGGTCTTAGTTCTGGTGCCAGTTCTGTCACAAATTAGCTGACTGGCTTTGGGCAAGTCTCGCTCCCTCTCTGGGCACAACTTTCTTTTCTATAAAATTAAAGGATCACCTAACAGATACTTGAGAAGCCTTCTAGATTTGGTTGTCTAGTATTTCAAGAGGCCAAGAGCAGTTGTCCACTCAATTGGCAAAGAGCACCCAGGGGTGCAAGGAAGGGGCTGGAAAATGTCCTGTCCAAGCAGAGATGTTTGTCCAAGCCCAACTTCTCACTCTCTAGGCCAGTGGGTAACAAGCCATTTGCCTGATAAGCAAGTGAAGAGGGGTGATGGCTAAATACTCAGCTTCCTCTTTCATGAATCTGCAAAGACACAGCAGAGCAATGTTCTCAGCCTCTGGGAATTCTGCCGTAGGCCTGGAGGATAAAGTGAAGCAAGGGAAGAACCTCATAGGCCCCAACACTGAGCTTGATTCCAATTTGAAGCTGTCAGAACTACAGCTTGAATTCTGAGCAGCCCTGGTCTCACGGGGCTTATGGCTCC